TAAGAATCAAACACTGCATGTAATCGAGTGGACAAAGTGGTGATAATACGAACCCAGAGGTCGTGTTCGGCGTAATCGAAGAGTAGCCACACTTTGCGGTCGGAATGGGAGAGGAATACCCGCTGAAGGTTTATGACATTCACGTGCTTTAGTTCCCGTAATAACTGTGCGATTCATTGATTCATTCAATAAATTCAATTCAATAGCATTTCAAATGAATACTGACAGCTATTTCACGACAGGCGGACATCGATATGCCGGTGCCCTCGATCTGTTTGAGCGCATACTCGCGAGTATCGGAACTGATGGTCAGACAGGGGTTAAGCAAACAGTAAATGAATACAATTGTACCAAAAATAAGCAATGGTTTGATGTATGGGAATGTGAGGTACGGGAGTGAGCAATGATAGCACGTGGCTATATATGCACAGATGACATACCCGTCCTTGCGTTTGGCTTTGTAGACGTGCCCATAGGTGCCCCGACCAACCTTACAGCCCTCGTATTCAAACAGTTCCTCCACTTTATCCCTTTCCGATGCGGTCTTCACTTTGAAGTCATAGTCCATGAAATGCTATACAAACACAACACCATTAGTACCCGGGTGTCTGCTATTAATACATTACCCGTTCATATCATTAACTATGAGCTAAATGAACGTTATTTTAAAGTACCCGTCCATTACAAACCCGGTTAATAACTAGAATATGATATGGCTTGGATCTAATTGATATATTAGCAATGTCATTATAAAATAGTGCAAATATAATACTCGATAGGATTACACTATTAACTGATCACGATTAAAAATAAACGCTAATATAATGACAATTAAAATATAGGTTTACTCACCATTTAATGTGATAACAATTTAATTGTAAAATTAATGTATATGTAAAATAATTGACTAATTTGAAAGTGTCATGCACAAATAACTTGTATATTGAGTTATGAATTGATGAACACAGTTATTTAAATAACAATTGATTTGTTTGTCAATTGAAATGTAAATATTTGGTTTGAATTGTAATTTGAGTGAAATGTTGAATGAAAAGGACGACAATATTTTGAGTTTTAAGTGCAACTATACATACATTACGGACAATAACCTCACTTTTGCGAAAACTATGATATTTGCTCAACTTCAATATCATACCTATTCTTACATTAAACTTGTTGCAAAATAAATTTCTAATTTTCTCAGTTTCTAATTAGATTTGCATCCATTATTCACAACTTTGAGAATATCAGTTACAAAAATCAATTAACGTGGCTAATATTTTTTTCCTGTATCACAATTATTACTGTACTTTCATTACCTGGTATTATATCATATGAATCATTCATTCACAGACAGGTATTAGAGCTTGGTCAACTTATTAGTAGTATTAGTTATACTTTCATATAAACTTATGGCAATAAACACACGAATGAATTTGTATTTAAAATCACTAATTTAGTCTAAATCATATATGTGGTGCTTAATTCATAATTACCTTTACTGTCTGTCCCTTGAAATCTGAAAAAGTGTTGTCCACTCGGAGGGTATGACTATACGGTACTCGGAACTGTATTCTATATGATACGATATAAATACTTATATGAATTTTACACATACACATACACACTCAGTGTTTGAAAAGACCAAGACACATTCCCAAATGTGAAACACCCCACCCCTATATGTGTGGCACACATAATTGATGAATGAATGCAATGTTTTTGTATGCAATTAGGCGGCAAACCTATGATGAACTGATTCAGTGCTTTATTGCAGTGAAAATGAATGATAAGTTTCAAATCATTTTCATTTCATTTCATTTAATCTTCATTTCATACCTCATATCATACATCACTGCAAGACATACCCATTCATCGGACAAACTAATTGGTGTCATCAGCCGAAGAAGTGGTATAATAGTCTGAAGCGATGCCTAAACACGTGATGACATACAAGAGTCGGCGGTTCGGGAAGAAGAAGAAGGCGGCGAAGAGTTCGGTGGAAGCGTTGGCCACATGCGGCGACTTCTTCGTGGAGGAGATCCGGGACCACGCGTTGGACGCTTACGGACGGCTCATGTATTTGCTGAAGTGGGAGGACTATCCCGAAGAGGAGAACTCGTGGGAGTTCGACCAACTGGTCCACGACTGCCCCGACATTAAGGCACTGTTCCAGCAGACAGTCAATGGCAGACATCCCGTGAAGTACTCGTGGGAAGAGTTCAACAAATTTGTTGCTTATCTCAAGCGTGTGGTGAGCGATGAGTTCACCGATTTAGCCGTTTTGTATCGATTGTCTGATAAGAAGAAGTCGTTATTGGATCTCAGGATGTCTTCCGCCAAAGTGTTGACTCACATTAAGACTCAGATTGAGGTGAGAATTGGAGACCTCTTTGTACAGACGTATGACAGCAGAGGTAACGCCGACCGGAACCGCGCGCACGAGAACCTCAAGAGAATTGTGTCTTCAAAATGTTTGGCATTTGAAAGCAATGGCTTCCCGACGATCACCGACTTCTTCGAGTTCGTGGACCAAAGGCATCATTTAGAGCCAAAACTGCGAGCTTTCGAAAAGTCATGCAATAAAGCGATTAACCAGAAGAAGGAAGGCTTAGCTATTAGTGTTTGCAACGACTACGACCTGGAGGTACCGGTGCTCAGGGAATACATCACAGAATGCGTGTACGATAAGTGTCTGTACCCGAAGACCACGATTGCGTCCGAAGACTATGTGGTTCACAGCTGTAAGTGTGAGGACTGTTACGGGGAACGGGACGAGTGCTGTACAGCTGTCATAGGCTTCCCTATGGCTTACGATAGGAAAGGCGTGTTGAGTAAGTACTGGTTGAACACTCCCGGTGTTTCGCAATTGATCTTCGAGTGCAATAAACTCTGCAATTGCGGTGACGACTGTCCCAATCGAGTCATCCAAAAGGGCCGTCAGTATAGACTCGAGTTATTCCGTCCACACGACGCCGATAGGAGGGGTTGGGCTGTGCGTACACTCGACGCCATACCGCGCGGCGCCTTTGTGTCCAACTATTGCGGCGAAATCGTGTCGCTCCGGGAGATCGACGCCCGTCCGACGACTTATTTGTTTGATTTGAGCACTAGTTTGTGTGAATCAGACAACGAGTACTCGTATGTCATCGATGCCGATAAGTACGCAAACGTGAGTCGCTTTATAAACCACTCGTGCGAACCCAACTGCCGGGCCTTCTGCTCGTGGATCAACTCGTATGATATGATGTTACCCACGGTCTCCATATTCACCACCCGTTCCATACGGCCCTACGAAGAGCTTACCTATGATTATGGCAATCAACTCATCGATATGTATGACTTTAATGGTGAGGGCTATAACGTGGACATGGATGACCAGTCGTTCAGTATTGATAGCCCAATGCCACCGTCGGTGGACAGTCGGGTCACTACTTCTACTGATGAAATGAATGGCGATGATAACGAGAGTGTCGACAGCGGAGTTCATGGTTCGACTATTGCGAGCACCAGTTCCACATCAAAAGCACCGGTCGTTAAGCCTGTCATCGATGATAAGCCCGAGAGGTTGGCCCTCAAGCGGATAGTGTGTCACTGCGGCTCCAATATGTGCCGTAAGTATCTGTACTCATGAGTCAAACTCACAGTCCATTAACAGTAAACTGTCCGCACATACAGACAGTATAATAAGTTTTTAAAGACCAAAGAGTTAACAATATTGCGAAATATAGTCCAAACTATAATCACTTAAGAATCTCTTAAATACTTCTAAGATTGACTGTAGTTTTAGTTTTAAATTTCATTTAAATCAGATGTATAATTAAATCTTACCATAATTACTACTTGTAATTTAATACGATTAATCCATTTGACACATAATTGAAGTGAATGTAAAGAAATATTTGTTGCACTTTTGTGTAGTTCATCTACTGTACAGAACTTTACATTTTCATACCGTACTCACTTGAAAAGGTGATTATTTTTTAAAAAACCGTGCAGAGATTTATTATCGGTTTTAAGTTAATATTTTCGTTATGTTTGAATTATAGAAACCATTTGTAATGGAAAGGCAAACATTCTCATCCCATTCATTGCCATTTTAATGTAATCTTAATTTAACCCTATTATGGTATTTTATTACGGTACCGTATAAATAGTCTACAATAATACTAACGTAAATCTGTTACGGTATCAATAAATATTCTTATCTTATTCATTGATGTTATTATTATTATATTAGGATTTTTAAAAATTTTCTTATACTTAGGCATTCAATACTAAAGTGTTTAATAAATCCAATACAGTACTATTTTTGAATCAATAAATTGCATGCATTTACGGCAAACATTGCCCACATTAAAGCTTATTGTGATAGTCTATTGGACTCCATAGTATCAAAGATATCAGTAATTTTATACTGTATTACGGTAAATATACCGGCAGAATTTTAAATTTACATAAAAAAGTGTGTATTAAAACAATTGCCGAAATAACTAAACATTTATTAAATTGAAAATGAATTTACAGAAAATAAAATCGATATTAAATCACGACTTCTTGTGCTTATTCCTCGACGACTTTCGTTTATTCTTATTATTCTTGCGATTCTTGAGCTGACGCTTCAGAATTGTCTTCTGTTTCATATTTTTCATCTCTTTTCGCCTCAATTTCCTCTGGAGTTTGGATTTCGATAAATCCTTTTTGTGTTTCATTTGTTCCCGCATTTGAAACGCTTTATTAGTCTTCAAACTCTTCGCGCTTTCTTTTTTGTTCGCTTTCCTGGCGTTCAGTATCCGCTGCTGTAGACCCTCACCACCGGCGCCATCACTATCATCACCGCTACCACCACTGCCCTTATTGTTCTCATCATCACTGGACTGGTCATCAGTGGTCACCGGCTGTTGATTGTGACCTAAACTCAGTCCCAAACTCGAGGACAACTCTTTGGCGTCAAATGTGGTGATACTGACCATCTGTTTGGGCAGTTCGTATGTGTGAGTGGCCTCACTGGGCAACAGGTGCTGCATGTCTGGCACCGGGCGCTGGCTTTCGTACAGAGTCTTCAGGCGATCCTTTTGTCGCTGTTTTTGTCTTAACTTCTCTTCCCTTAACTCTTCGTCCAAAATGTGTTTTGCTTTCAATTTTCGTTCAGCTTTTCGTTTCTGAAAACCTGTCGAAGAATAGAAAGATAATTGTGAGACACGTGTGTCCAGTGATAGTACACCACATGTGGCTATAAATGGGATCAACTCGAAGACAAATACCCGTCAGAAATGATTTCCTGTCGTCTGAATCAAAAGCCAACTCAAGTTTCGGTCGCTTTTTGCCGAAAAACTTCTTCCGTTTGGACTTTTGTCCACTTCTGGAGGCATTGGGAGGGCCCTCCTCTTCAGTCATTGGTGGCTCCGAAACTGATTGCTATAATTGACTGAAATTTAAATAAATTGTTTATAAATTGTTCACAAATTTTAAACTTCACATCAATTCAAAGCACATGTGTTTGTTGTCAACACGAGTAAAGTATGGTTTGTGTGAAAAGGGCGTAACTTAGTTATGATTATACAGAATATTCAATGAATACATGTGCATTGATTTATGCCTTTATTGCACCCATGCTTTTGCAATATTCAGGTTAACACAAGGAGTATCCGTTTGGTGTCACTATTGAAGTCATAATGCAATGAATGATTCAATGAATGAATAGTTTTAGGAATTGATGAAAGTTTCTGAAAACTCAAAAGTTTGAGAATAATAGCATACTTGGTGTCTATTTTATAAATTTAAATGAGTAATTATCTTGATAATATATAATATATCCAGTATTGAGAGGAATAACTATAATTTTATAGTAATCTTAAAATTAGATCTAACTTAACGATAAAATGCATACAGTACATTTGCATGTATACAAGCATGTCTAGTATTTTATGTGAACTAAACCTCCGATTATTATGAAAATTAGCTGCAATTTTGCGTATAAAAGTGACTTTTAATGCAAACACGATATGAAAATATTTGTGAAAAAATACTTTTACACAAAATCATCGGAAAAGGCATTTTGTGGACAAACGAAATAAATCTTGCTTGAGTTAAAACCTTTAAAACATAAAACTGTTTATCTTATATGTCATGCATTTAAATGTGATTTCATTTTTAAATTCCTTATCACATGAAAAAAACGTTTTTAACATTTATTATTCATTGATTTTATTTATATTTATTTATATATTTGTGTGAAATCATTTGACTGGTTGCCCCTTAACCTCCAGTTCCCCTCCGGTATCCTAATGGGTGTATGTAATTCGCAGTGCAAACACACACAAACCGTACATAACCTGTATTTGATTGGAACCGGGTATTCATGCAATCAATTATATAATAATTTATAATTTGAATCATCAGTTCATTAACTGTGCGGTGAGAGAGAGAGAGAGAGGGAGAGAGAGTAGTCTTTTTAACGATAGAAGAGACAGAAATCAAGTTTGAATTATATTTCACTTTAACTTTAAAAGTTAAGCAAAAACTTGTTTTTCTCGCAAACGATTCGCTGAAAACTTAATTTCAATTTATAATTTCCTTTCTTTTTGCTCTTTTTAGCTCTCTCTCTCTCTCTCTCTCTCTCTCTCTCGTATGTAATTGTAATTGATATACAANCTTTAACTTTAAAAGTTAAGCAAAAACTTGTTTTTCTCGCAAACGATTCGCTGAAAACTTAATTTCAATTTATAATTTCCTTTCTTTTTGCTCTTTTTAGCTCTCTCTCTCTCTCTCTCTCTCTCTCTCTCGTATGTAATTGTAATTGATATACAATATTAACATAAGGACCGGCAGTTTTTTGGGGATTGACTCACATCTCATCAATAGACTGATCATTAATATTATTTTCTAACGAAAATATGAGGGGAATAAAGACCAACGAAAATAAGATTCAAATAAACATTGAATTACTTATTATTTATAAATTATATAATAGCTAACGCAGTAACTATACAAACATGAGATTAAATATGTTGATCCAAAACAAAATACAAAAATATATGACATAAATATTACAATCAAAATATTATCAATCATTAATGAGACACAATACATATTCGGCCAGAATTTTATATTAGAGAGAGAGAGAGAGAGAGAGAGAGAGATCTATGAGAATTTCCTGTATAGAGTACCCTGAACATAGTTATTAATATTAGCAATCATTATGCTTTCAACAATGAATGAATTGTTGATTTTATTCACTGAACACAAAACTATGAGCGAAAACTCATTAATCATTTGAAGAGTCTTTATTATATACACTATTCAATGAATAGTATTCATACATATTCTTGTATAATGAACTCATGAATAGAGTGAACAAAACAAAAAACAGTTTAGAGAAAGAAATATTCCGCTCTTTAATGTGTTTGTCTTGATTACTGTATACAACAAAACAGTCAAAACTATTATAATTAATAAGAAAAAATAATTTTGCCATTAATTGGGATATATTTTAATGGATTTGTTCTATTCGTATGGTTTGTTGATTCCTGTGTTCACACCTGTTATGATTGTCTCGTAGGGTATTGTAATTCACATCAAACTATCTTTTCATATATTTATTAAACAATAATTAAAATATAATCACAAAACCAGGGGGTAAGTCGTACTATGAGGTATACATGAAATTAAATGCTTTGGAGTATAGTAATGGGAAAGGTAGTTTAATAAATAAATTTAGTGGTGCTATTGTAATCTTTGTTAGAAAAAGTATAAAGTTATTATAAATACACAAAATAAGTTTATAACTATAATGTGTATAAATAATGAAAAGTACTCTGTATAGTTACAAACACAGTATAAATCAATCAATTCTTGTCTTATAAAATATCTATTGTAGTATAAAATATTATCAAATTAGGGATTAATGTATTATTTATCAGAACTTTAGTTATCATAAAAATAAGGCAAAAAATGAGTTTTACTTATATTATTTATTTCCTTTAATACAGTATTCAATATAACTTATGTTAACCATTAAAATACACTATAACTATACATTTCACTTTTCCAAAAATTAGTAACAATTAGTAAATCAAATATTCTTCTAAACTAAAGACAAATTAAAAGATTTTGTTATTCAAACATTTTTGAACACCTGTAAATTATAAGGTAAAATGAATCTAGTTTTCTGGTACAGTACTAAAATAAAAGGACTAAAAATAAATTGCTTTATACTGTATTAATATAATTTAATTTTTAAAATATTTAATCAAATAAATATTATTTAAAAAATACTGTATTTAATTCTGACTGAAATAAATGTGGACTTGTTTATAAGTAACATTCGATGTATTTTCAAAACTTGTAAATATATGTGACCATAAATAGCAATATGACAGGTCTTGTCTTATCACACTTTAGTTATATCACAAAAATATAGCTTAACTTAATGTTATCACAACTATGAGAATATTTTCCACAATTTATAAAAATATATAAACAACAATATATTATTTTATAACTCATTAATAAAAATTACTTGCAACTAAAACTTAATATAAATGACTAAATTATATGTAATATGTGTTAAAATGATTATATGGACACTATTTTGATTAAAATTTAATTTAAATTAGAAATACATACAAATACTATTGAAAGAGAAAAGTAGAAAAATTATTAGAAACGAAATTTAAGGCAATTTTTAACCAATGGTTCAGTGATTTGAGTCACACATTCCAGCCGTCAATTAATAAGTTATCATTTTGTTGGGCTCTCTCTCTCTCTCTCTCTCTCTCTATTTTCTCATATCAATAATCAGGGTTAGGTATGACCAGATTTAAGGCCCCTAATATATCTTCAAAATCGTAATCTATTCACAGATTCTTGAGACGATTTCAATGTAATAGAGGAGTAAATGTGAAATCAATTTGATATCATCTCTCAAAACAAATGAATTTTTGTGTTTATCTATAATTGCATTTTAGATGCAAATGCAAGACAACAAAAATATGCAATTATTGTCTTTATATTCAGTCGTTACAAAAAAATTAGATTCAATTTTAGGAAACAATGATTTTTTGCATATACAGTACAGTATTAAATTGAATAAATTCTTGAAAAATAGACCACTTATTTGTAAATTACAATTGTGTAGATGAAACTGAGATTACTTATACAATATTAGTCACATTGAATTGTATTGAATTGAATTGATTTGTAGTCACATATTGTCGTCTGTTATACAGAATATTCAATAAAATTTTATAATGACTTATAGATTAATNTAGAGTACCCTGAACATAGTTATTAATATTAGCAATCATTATGCTTTCAACAATGAATGAATTGTTGATTTTATTCACTGAACACAAAACTATGAGCGAAAACTCATTAATCATTTGAAGAGTCTTTATTATATACACTATTCAATGAATAGTATTCATACATATTCTTGTATAATGAACTCATGAATAGAGTGAACAAAACAAAAAAACAGTTTAGAGAAAGAAATATTCCGCTCTTTAATGTGTTTGTCTTGATTACTGTATACAAAAAAACAGCCAAAACTATTATAATTAATAAGAAAAAATAATTTTGCCATTAATTGGGATATATTTTAATGGATTTGTTCTATTCGTATGGTTTGTTGATTCCTGTGTTCACACCTGTTATGATTGTCTGGTAGGGTATTGTAATTCACATCAAACTATCTTTTCATATATTTATTAAACAATAATTAAAATATAATCACAAAAACAGGGGGTAAGTCGTACTATGAGGTATACATGAAATTAAATGCTTTGGAGTATAGTAATGGGAAAGGTAGTTTAATAAATAAATTTAGTGGTGCTATTGTAATCTTTGTTAGAAAATGTATAAAGTTATTATAAATACACAAAATAAGTTTATAACTATAATTTTTATAAATAATCAAAAGTACTCTGTATAGTTACAAACACAGTATAAATCAATCAATTCTTGTCTTATAAAATATCTATTGTAGTAAAACATTATCAAATTAGGGATTAATGTATTATTTATCAGAACTTTAGTTATCATAAAATAAGGCAAAAAATGAGTTTTACTTATATTTATTTCCTTTAATACAGTATTCAATATAACTTATGTTAACCATTAAAATACACTATAACTATACATTTCACTTTTCCAAAAATTAGTAACAATTAGTAAATCAAATATTCTTCTAAACTAAAGACAAATTAAAAGATTTTGTTATTCAATGATTTTTGAACACCTGTAAATTATAAGGTAAAATGAATCTAGTTTTCTGGTACAGTACTAAAATAAAAGGACTAAAAATAAATTGCTTTATACTGTATTAATATAATTAATTTTTAATATATTTAATCAAATAAAATATTTTTTAGAAAGTACTGTATTTAATTATGACTGAAATAAATGTGGACTTGTTTATAAGTAACATTCGATGTATTTTCAAAACTTGTAAATATGTGACCATAAATAGCAATATGACAGGTCTTGTCTTATCACACTTTAGTTATATCACAAAAATATAGCTTAACTTAATGTTATCAC